ACAATATATAGGCATAGATTTGCGGCCATGGCATTGAAATTATAAATTTTTCCCCTCAAACTTGAATTAAAATTTCATAAATGAAAATTTGAGGCCTGAATAGGTCATGTCACAAACGTAGGGTAATATCACAAACTAGCACCATTGAAAATATCTCCAACAATTAAACCACGAGGACAATTTTCCCCTAATCACTTTCTCAGATAAGATCAAAACAAAATGCCCAATTAGCAAGTAGAAAAAACAACGATGAAAATTCAATTGAGGCAAGAAAATGACCTGATTATCCCACGAAGTTGCAACCAGCACATTTGCCTTGGGACTGGAACAAAGGGTTGACACTGAATCACTAGGAGGTTGCACCACCTTTTTTACACACCCAAAAAATCAATAAATTGTAAAGTCCACCAAACGCAATGAAACCCCTAAATAAATACAAGAATTCAAATAATACAAGTATTCAAATAGTCTAAATAGAATTCAAGAAACCCAGTAAATAAAATAAATACAGTACAAATTAATTGAAAATTACCTCAGTGGAACGATTGGGATTTGGATTTGCAGTTGCAGACGTAGTGCCGAACGTAGCCATTCAGTTTGCTAGTTTAAACAATATATCAACTATAAATTTCAAAATTTAAAACTAAAAATTAACAGTATAATAATGGAAAATATGGAAATAGAACAAATAGTACCAGATTAGACGGTTTTTTGGCTGTTCTTGCCTCAAAATCTCACAAATATCCAGAGGTACACCAACAAAAACTTGAAAGATATTTAAAAAAATATATTCTTAAACAGTGATTTAACATAACCAAGCTGGTGAGCTAGGGAATTTTGCCCACCTCTTTAACAGATACTCATGTGGCTGTGGGACTGCGTGGGACTAGAGGTGAATTTAAAATGCAAAAAAAAGGACCCACCAACCCCAAATGTGAGAGTAGGTCAGACCCTCTCTAGCATAGTAGCATGGTTGGATTTAACATTATTTTAATCACACATTTTTTAATAAAATAATATTATACGTAAATTCAAAATTTTTCATTATTTTTTAACCACAAATTCTCCATCAATCTACTATTTCAAAATTTACTGAAATGACATATTTTATTAAGTCAATTAATATTAATATATAGAATTGACTAAAAAAAATTACTAACACAATTAATTATTTTCAAACCTAATAATACATATTAAAAATAGTATTGCATTTCTAAAAAATTCTTTTGAAAATAATAAATTCAATCCATAATCGCAATCTTTAAATATTTTATTAATCAAATACATATTTTATTCAATTGTGCTATATATACATAACAACTTATATGATGAAGTTAATTAAAAATGGGAAAGGAGTAATCTTTTCATCCTTACTCAGCACTTACTCATATATGAATACTTTGGTGCATGTCCATTTCACAGCCAAACCAAGTGCTAACACTTACCATTCATTTGATATCGAGCAGTATCGAGAAACGAAAATAATTCAACATCTTATTCATTATTTTGTCCAATCTTGTATTTACTGAACTTGTGTTCAAGGGTTTAAACAAAGTTTGTGAATCGAAGGATAGGTTTAGTGACACACAGATCTCTGTCTAGCCATGGTTTATTTGAGGTGGACTATGTATTCAAGGAATTAGTAGGAATGTTGAACATCCCAAGTCACGAGCTTTATTTTATTTAGAGCTTGCTTGAGCCCCATTTTTTGTTCAAAAAGTATTTTGGAATAGTATTTTGATGGAAAATGTGTGGTTAATAAATAAAGAAAAGTTTCGGGTTTGCGTGTAATATTATATTATTGAAAAATGTATGATTCAAAATAAGAGGGAGAAAAATGCATTTTGAAAATAATGAGAACCAAACAAGGGCTTAGTTTGGAATGCTCTGAATTGAAGATATTTCTATAGATCCCCACCAAAAGAGAAAATTGGTATTGTATTTCTAGTCATAAATGGCCACTTGATGCTCATAGGGAATGGAAAACTTATTCGAGCATGGAAATTGCAATCAAGTGTGTTACGCTTTCAAGCGATGAGACAAAATGAATGTTTTATTAGGTAGAAATTTCAAGTAAGTCGTGACAAAATAAAGGTCTTATAAGGTAGGAAATTACAATCGAGTGTGTTACGCTCTCAAGCGATGAGACAAAATGAAGGTTTTATTAGGTAGAAATTTCAAATAAGTCGTGACAAAATAAAGGTCTTATAAGGTAGAAATTTCAAATAAGTCAAGGACTCGTAGAAGTTATGAGGATTAAGCATCCAAATCGACTAGATAAAGTTCGTTGATCTGAGTTAAGCTGAGTAGAAAAATCCACCACTGTTAACATTGAACTCGGTCTCAACATTTGCTAAAGAGAGTGTGTCTTGGTGAATAAATTATTCCAATAACTAAACTTGTAAGTACA